CCGTGCTGACTCAGACACCAACGACATGGAAGTACACGAACCAGACCACACCGCACCACCCGAAAGGACACAACCACACATGGTGGCTACGACAGCCCAGCGCTGTGTGATGCGGCATGGGGCACACGTGCAGATATGAACCAGGAGGACGGCCCGAGGAACACGCAGCGCATGAAGGGCTGCAGTGGCACTGGCTGAACTAAAACATGCATCTATTGTATTGGTGCGCCAGCAGATGCAACAACACCAGGACAACGCCAATTGCCTACCAATTGGACAAGCACGAAAGCAGAGCGCGCACACCATCAACGTGAGAAGTACTGCAATAAGGAGAAACTGCACGCATAGATGGCCGAGAGCCCATCCAGTTGTATCCGGAAGACAACGGCGACTCTCAACGAGCAAATACTCAGTGCACCTCAATTAGTAAATTCCGCAGCCCGCGCCTCATCCCAGCGGCTCGGCATAGACGGGAGAACAATACATTGGATATCAATGGTATCAAGGCACGCCACGAAGACAAATCCGCCTTAATGCTGACTATCTCGCGTGCCTGAGCGAAGCTGCTTTGGACACCGCTACCGAACCTGGCCTCCTTCTGCTCTTCACCACCACCCGTGTCGCCACAGAAGGAGAGCCCACCAACAGGAACCAGGTGGCAAGGGGGTGTACGAGTGCCCTTAACCACCAGCAAAGGTAACCCCAAGACCACCTGGCGAAAACGAGGAACGCGGCGAGAACCACAGCTGTCACCACACACGAACACACACACACACATACACACCTGTTCCTCCGACGCGCTGATGATAGCGCATTGGCTTGGAGGACCGCGCAGACACACCCACACGTACTCACACAAACCCTTACAGTGCCTGGGACACCCCTGACCGAGGAGAACAGGTAGTTGTAAGAAGCTGCGGGTTGCAACCTTGGTTTGAACACACGTTGAATCAGTAGGCGATAACGTAGGCGAGGTCGGCGATGGAGCCGAGCATGACTAGGTGAATCGTGCAACACGGCCCTATATATGCAAAGAGCGCGCGATGTACATGGATGGATGTTTTCATGTTGGCATGTGGGGTTCTCGTTGGCCAGCGCCCCGTGTGGCGGATTTCGGAAACCTTGACCCCAGACATGTCGTCATCCCTCGGGGGCGCATCTTTTACTTCCGCCGGCGGCCTCATGCTTTACTTCCGCCGACCTCCCGCCGCCCTTTGCGCCGCCTTCCGCCGAGAAAGAGATGGCAACTCGGCGGCGCGCCCGGGCGGGCAGAGAGAAGGGGCGGGCCTTCTCAGAAGGCTCGGAAGTTCCTCGGCCCACCGAGAAGTGTCCCAGGCCTTCCCCCGAAGACTACCTCTCGGAAGGCGCGAGGGCTTCTTTGAAGTCCCGCCGCCTTCTGAGAAGACCTTCTCCTTCTCACTTCCCCCCCTCGCGCCGCACCCTCCCTTGGCCGCCGTGCAGGGGAGGGGGGGAAGGGGGTCTACGGAGGAGGAGTTGGAGGAGGAGGAGGAGGAGGAGCAGGAGGAGTCGCTCGCCGCCGAACAGCTCCTTCGACCCTCGCAGGCGAGGCCCTCTCTTTGAAACGCCTCCTGTGCCCATCGCTGGCCCCCCCCACAAGACGCCTACGCGTGCGAGTTGCTTCACCAAAAGAATACTTTTTCAGACAACACAATAAATACTGATACTGCTGATGGTAATGACACTGCTAATTTTACTAATAGAAAGAATAACACTTAGAAATTATCATAATAATGCGACCAATGAACACATCGATAAAACATACACGCACAAATACATAACTACATGCATATAACAATAAAAGGGAACATACTACGACGACGACGACGACGACAACGACGACGACGACGACGACGACGACGACGACGACTACGACGACTACGACTACGACTACGACTACGACGACTACTACTACTACTACTGCTACTACTACTGCTATTTCTACTACTACTACTACTACTACTACTACTACGACGACGACTAGTACTACTACTACTACTACTACTACTACTACTACTACTACTACTACTACTACTACTACTACTACTACTACTACGACTACTGCTACTACTACTGCTACTACTACTACTACGGCTACTGCTGCTACTACTACTAATACTACTATTACGACTACTACTACTACTACTACTACTACTACTACTACTACTACTCACTTACTACTACTTAATAACTACTACTTTATTACTACTACTACTACTACTACTACTATTAATACGGCTTACTGCTGCTACTACTTAAGCACTACTGACTACTACGACTACGAATACGACTACTACTACGAAGACTACTACTACGGACTACGACTAATAAACTACTATACTACTGAGTTACTACTACTAATAATAAACATAATACTACTATTGCTACTACTACTACTATACTACTGTACTACTATAACAATAATAAGACTTACCATACTAATACTACGACTACGACTACGACTACTACTACTACGACGACG